TCTGATCTGATCTGATTGGTTCTGATCTGATCTGATCTGATCTGATTTTAATAAGATTAAGAAAAAAGCAGAAAAAATAAGTTGAACGGAATGGGGTCTTAGTCCATGTTGTGCATATAATTTAATGAAATATACTCTAGTTTGTCCTTTTTAGATGTAATTGGAAAGATCGTTCGGTGTTTGAGTGTGCGGACACACGTCATGTCATCTAAAAAGGACAAACTCATGGTGATAACATTGGAGGATCTTCTAAAATCCTTGCATGGATTCGAAAAGAGAAATGATTAATTTCTACCTAGAGCCACAAAAATGATATGCGCGTGCCCTCACTCTAATCCCGTATTAGTATGATATTGTCCGCTACGAGCTAAGCCCTCACGGATTTGTTTTTTGGCACCTCCCAAAAGGCCTCATACTAATAGTCTACATAAATTATAATCACACAAAAAGTTTCATGTTCTTTCTTCTTATATTTTTTAAATAGAATTAAATTTATTTTTTAAAAGAACCGTATCAAGTAAAACAACTAAAAAATATGGAATTTAAAAAGTAAGGAGTAATAAAGATATTGATAATGATAATAATAGTAGTAGTAGTAGTAGTAGTAATAATAATAATAATAATAATAATAATAATAATTGTTATTTGGATCTGATCTGGTTTGATCTGATCTGATTGGATCTGCTCTGATCTGATTAGATTAGATCTGATCTGATTGGATCTGATCGGATCTGATTAGATCTGATCTGATCTGATTGGATCTGATCTGATCTGATCTGATTGGTTCTGATCTGATCTGATTGGTTCTGATCTGATCTGATCTAATCTGATCTGATCTGATTTTAATAAGATTAAGAAAAAAGCAGAAAAAATAAGTTGAACGGAATGGGGTCTTAGTCCATGTTGTGCATATAATTTAATGAAATATACTCTAGTTTGTCCTTTTTAGATGTAATTGGAAAGATCGTTCGGTGTTTGAGTGTGCGGACACACGTCATGTCATCTAAAAAGGACAAACTCATGGTGATAACATTGGAGGATCTTCTAAAATCCTTGCATGGATTCGNTCTGATTTTAATAAGATTAAGAAAAAAGCAGAAAAAATAAGTTGAACGGAATGGGGTCTTAGTCCATGTTGTGCATATAATTTAATGAAATATACTCTAGTTTGTCCTTTTTAGATGTAATTGGAAAGATCGTTCGGTGTTTGAGTGTGCGGACACACGTCATGTCATCTAAAAAGGACAAACTCATGGTGATAACATTGGAGGATCTTCTAAAATCCTTGCATGGATTCGAAAAGAGAAATGGTTAATTTCTACCTAGAGCCACAAAAATGATATGCGCGTGCCCTCACTCTAATCCCGTATTAGTATGATATTGTCCGCTACGAGCTAAGCCCTCACGGATTTGTTTTTTGGCACCTCCCAAAAGGCCTCATACTAATAGTCTACATAAATTATAATCACACAAAAAGTTTCATGTTCTTCCTCACTCTAATCCCGTATTAGTATGATATTGTCCGCTACGAGCTAAGCCCTCACGGATTTGTTTTTTGGCACCTCCCAAAAGGCCTCATACTAATAGTCTACATAAATTATAATCACACAAAAAGTTTCATGTTCTTTCTTCTTATATTTTTTAAATAGAATTAAATTTATTTTTTAAAAGAACCGTATCAAGTGAAACAACTAAAAAATATGGAATTTAAAAAGTAAGGAGTAATAAAGATATTGATAATGATAATAATAGTAGTAGTAGTAGTAGTAGTAATAATAATAATAATAATAATAATAATAATAATAATAATAATTGTTATTTGGATCTGATCTGGTTTGATCTGATCTGATTGGATCTGCTCTGATCTGATTAGATCTGATCTGATCTGATTGGATCTGATCTGATCTGATTAGATCTGATCTGATCTGATTGGATCTGATCTGATCTGATCTGATTGGTTCTGATCTGATCTGATTGGTTCTGATCTGATTTGATTGGTTCTGATCTGATCTGATCTGATCTTA